ATCATGTTCAAGGGGCAGAGTGGGTCATTCCCGACGTGTCCCTTGATCCTACATCTGAAACACATGGGGTTCGGCTTCGCGGAGATGTATATTGTTGTAATCTTTTGATCCGCGTTGAAAAACCATTTGTGAGGCAGTTCAGGTGGGTTGTTTCCTTTTGAGTTCGATGGATGTTATTCTTGAGTTGATGCTGGGGGCGAGGAAGCCTGGGGCTGAAGAGACCCATTCAACCAGAGGTTACTGAGGGTAAGTTTCTTTCAACCAATCCTTTACCAGCTGGTGTACCTCGCAATTAGGTTGTCAAACTGGATCCAGAAGTGTTTGTACATCAGTGTCTGCTGGTGTCTCGAGCTGTCCTGTTGGGTCTCCATTTCGAGATTGAGACCACCGAACCTTCGCAGTAGAGGGCATGTACTGAGAGGAGGTAAGCTGTGTAATCTGGTTCAGCGCATAACACCGTGATTGCATTTCTCACTCTCTGTTGTAAGGCAATCTTGGGCTTAAAGTCCCGTAGGTTCTCCATGTTCTGGAGAGTTTCGCGGACCCTCTTCCATAATTCCTTGGTTGGCAGTTGTTTCAATTTTTCTGGGAAGGAGCAAACTACTGCATGTTTTTCATAGAATTCGTCTAACATGGGCAGGTGCTCCTTTGGGTATACCTAGGCTTCGACTTCCGCTTCTTCTTCCTTTTCAACACTTCCTAGGTGATCACTAGTTTAATGCGTGTTTCCTTTATCATGAGGTTGAGTACCTCTTGGCTTAGGTCCTGTTCATTTGGGTTGTGTGCCCTTTTGGAACCAAAGGCCGCACCTGACGCCGAGCCTGAGGCTGAGGCTGAGCATGTGGTTGAGGTTGGCGCCGATGATGTGGATTGAGCTGTAGACATGGTGTTCGCGATTTAAATATCCCGGTGGATGATGCGATTTAATCCTGAATTACGGTTGGTGACAATTAGCATTGAATTGAATTGACTGCAGGCTCTGTTCTAAAACAGTGGCAATACAGAAATTTGTTTATTTTGCCAAATGATGAGAACTGGTAAGTACAAAAATTGGGCAGGGTTTTCCCTCCCCACCAGGGCAACGAGTTTGTTTGACAAGGAGCGGCTTTTAACGAATTGGACGTTCGGCGGGTACACTACTGTGGATATGGGGACAATGAAAGTGCAGCTATTGTCTAAGCGATAGATTTTGACAAGGCATTTTCACCGGCGAGGTACAGTGTAAAGAGTAGTGGTGGTTGTAGATCTGCGATTGAATGATGAGATCGTTTGGTGAATTGTGAAAGGGGACAATATAAAAATAAATGAAATTTTTGCAATGGGTAATGATGAGATTGTACTGGTGAATAGTAATGATGACCAGGGTTGCCAGGCCGAACGTACAGAGGCCCCTAAGCTGACCCCCGAACGTTCGGGCGTTCGGGTCCCCGTACGGGGCCCGAACTTGAAGGGGTTCAGACCCCGCAAAAAAATATTTTGGCACCCAAATATTCTTAATTTTTTCTGAGTTTTTTTTTGTGAGTTCTTTGTGATGTAAGGTATCACCAGCTTAATTTTGAAGTCATTCTGTTCATCCAAAACAAAATGAAAAATCCTCAAAGGTGGTGGTGTCAAAACTTGCTTGCCCACTCACAAATTTGTTTCTTCTCTCTTTTCACTTTTTGTTTTTCCTTTATTTCGGGGCATACAGCAATTTATTATTTTTCAAACTTTATTCGTAGATTCTCTATTATGTAAGATACACATATATAAATTTTCATGGCATTTGTCACAGCCAAAAAAAAATGAAAAATCGCCAAAGATGGCGGTGTCAAAAACATGCTCGCCCACTCAATAATTTAATTCTCGTTTTATTTTTTCTATTTTTCATTATTACTATTTATTTTTAGTATTTTATTTTTATTTCAAATTTGGTAAAGAATTTGGATATAACGTTGAGGCAAATGTTGTTTAGTTTATTCGTCTGCATAAGATATATCGTTTTCAGATTTTTTGGAATTCGTTTTTTTTTTTTTTTTTTTTTTGGATCCGCGTTCGGCCGAACGGCCGAACGCGTCGAGAGGGGGTGCCGAACGTTCGGGCGTTCTGGTTCGGGCGTTCGGCCCGTCCCGAACGCCGGCAACCCTGATGATGACAATAAAATAACGATGATGATGATGATAATAATAATAATAATAATAATAATAATAATGTTAATAAATTTAGCTGGGCGTGTGAAGAGGATGGCTGAGATGGGTGGGGGAACAGATGTGGGGTGTGAGGGGAAGTTGGGGAGGTGAGGTAGTGATGGTGTGAGGGAGGGGGGATGTTGGGTGGGTAGTGCGGCGTGGTATGAGTGCGTGGGGTGGAGGTGGGAGTACGAGAGGTAGGCATGGAGGGGGGTAAGTTGGGGATTTGGGCTCTGGGATTGTCATGGGTGTGTGAGGGGTAGGGGATTTGTTTTTTTGGAGGGGGGCGCGGGGGTGTTGTGGGGAAAGGGTGAGTGGGAGGTCATGATTTCCATTGGTATAACTTGAAAAGAATAATCTTTGGATGCTTTCTTGTCTGTACTCTGTCCGTGTTCGGTTACTAGAGAGTTGAGCACTCAAGGTGGCGCAGGTGGAGTTCTTGTAGGTCGCTCGCTTGGTCTGTTCCTGGTCGGAGTGCCGTCTGTTCCTGGTCGGAGTGCCCTCCTTCGTTCGATCGCTTGGGGTGAGAGATTTGGAGCGATCTTACCTCATTGGCTTGCTTCTTGTTGTTTTGTGTCTCGTACATACGATTCTCCTCTGGATTCGCTAGCGTGATTACTTGAGAAACTTCTGTTCTTTTTCTTTTATAGGTCGATAACTTCCCCCTTCTCTCTCGTCCCTCTTCCATTTGATCCCCTCTTTGCTTCCTCTCGCTCGTTTTTCTTTTCTTCTGTCTGCCTTCCTTGTCTGGTTCCTCTTTGGTTCGTAGGAAATCGCTGTTGTCTTTTGTCCCTTCTGGCTTAGGAGGTGAAAGGTGTTGCGCTCATAAGCCACCTCCCTTGCTAAGAGTAGACGGATTGCTGTTTTTAGGCTTTTCTCCTTCGTCACTTTCACCCATTCACTGTTCCTCTTTGTCTCTTCTTCCCTCTCACTTCCCTTTTTTCTTGCCTCCTTTCTCCTTTGTCCGTTTCGTTGCTCGCCAGTGATTGGTCCGGTTTATTCCTCTAGTTGCTCTCTTCCCTTTCGCTGTGTCGATATCTGTGTCTTGGAGCGTAACTCGGACGTGATGGTGGTGATGGTGAGTGGGTGTGACCGGCTATGGATGACGCTCGCCACGCCCGAGGGCGTGGCTGAACCTTCCCTTGTTTCGCGTCCAGAAGCGGGTGAACTTCGAAACTTGAAAAACTCCCCGCACGTACCTCGTGCACGGTGCGAATCGCCGTGGCAGGGCGGAAGGGGGTTGCCGAACGCTGGTCGGCGTTAGCGCTAACCTTCGGTGCTAGCACAACCTTCCCTTTGGATCCGCTATTCTTCCTTCTTTCCTCTATTTTTCATCCTTTCTTTTCCACTTGGTGTGCAGGAAGTTGGTGGTGGGAGTAGCTCCCTGCCCCAGCAGCATGTATCTGGTCAGATCTCTCTCTCTCTCTCTCTCTCTCTCTCTCTCTCTCTCTCTCTCTCTCTCTCTCTNCTCTCTCTCTCTCTCTCTCTCTCTCTCTCTCTCTCTCTCTCTCTCTCTCTCTCTCTCTCTCTCTCTCTCTCTCTCTCTCTCTCTGTTTTTTCTTTTTTAAATTTGGATGATTTCTCGATTTATGTGTGTCATCCTTGCGCAGGGGCCATGCTTATCTTCTCTGTATCGTTCCAATTTTAACGGATGTCATGAAGAGCAGTAGTTCTCTTCTTTCTTGTTCCTTGTTTTTCTTTCTGAGGAAGGTGTCTATGCCACATATTCGGTTGTGGCACAAACGAGTTTCAAAAGGGCAACAAAACCCCACGCCGGCAACAAACACGCGCGCTGAGTTCAAAACCGCAACAAAAGCTTTTTTACCCGTGCACCACGTTTGAAAAGGGCAACAAAATCACACGCGGGCCACAGCCATTTTTACCGATATCGCCCTTTTCAAACTCCGCACCCGATTTTGTTGCCCACACATGTTTTTTTTTGCCCTTTCGAAACTGAAAGTGTGACACTGCCAGACTTGTTTCAAAAGAAAAAAAAGAAAAGAAGTTTGTAAATTCGTAGTCACCTCTGAGTCAGTGGCTGCACATGAATGTATTCAATTGTATTGTGATCTGACCAGCATCTGGGTAGTGATAAATGTACATCGATGTGGTATTTTTTCATGCGCATTCAGCTGGGGGTGTTCTGGCCACTACAACGGTACAACCCTTTTGGGACGAATGTATTTTCTGCACTTCTGTTTTACATGATTGTGTTTAGAGGGAGAAATAAAGGCTGGAATTCTCTGCTTCTTCTCTGCCACATATACAATGCAGAGGGGAAAAGGAAGCAAAAAAAAAAAAAAACACGATGCAGAGGCATGCCAATGGCTGAACCTTTCCTGCTCAACAATTCATAATATGCAAGGAGTTCTAATTATAAAGGAAGTCCCAGAACCTCTGTTTCTCTGCTCCCATGTGCTTCACGGAGTTTATGGGAGAATCTTTTAGCGCCCTGGTTTTGTATTGGGAGACACTGACGAAACATTATGGTTCCTGCCGACCCGCCTGTTGCTGGCCCATTTTCCTGTAATCTATGTGTGCCCAAGCTGAAGCTTCACAATTGGGGGACCGGAATGAAGAGCGAAGAAAGAGGATTGGTCTTTAAGGATGTTTCTTTGAAAGAGGAGTAAAAAGGGGAGGCAGAATAGGTGGGGGGAAGGGACAAAAAAAAAAAAGAAATAAAAGGGTGGGGGGAAGAGAGATGCTGCTGACATTGAGATGGTGATCAGAGGCCTGTGGGGACCGGAAAATTGAGTTGTGTATTTTGGAGACTCTAACGAAACGCCACCATGATTCATGTTTTTCCAAAAATTATACAATGGGCTTGGGCAGGTAATGTGCCATTTGCGGGTATCAAGGACCCGGCTGTCTACTTCAAGGTAGTACAAGAGCAAGCAAAGCCAGATATTCCGGAAGGCGTGCCAAAACCACTGCGCGACATGCTCTTACGATGCTTTGAGTACCATGCTTTCGATCGCCCACAAGCGCATGAGCTTCTTGCTTTCTTTCTCCGTGGTTCATCCGTTGATGATACCTCACTTCAAGCCTGCCTCACCGATGTCTTCATTGCGCGCACGCCAGTCGGCAAGATCAAAGTGTCTTCAGGTGATGGCCGTCCAGCTCCCAGTGTTTCTGGCTTGGGGACGAAGCGAAGTAGTACCAGCAGTGCTGATCTGATCAAGTTGACTGATCTAAGGAACAGTGCACCCACAGTGGTGAGTTCAAACCCTGTGACCCCCCCCAGGTAATTTGGAACTATTTCATTCGCGGTATCTGATTCTGGTTGGATTCGAACTTCGGTCTGTATTTCAACAGTTTGTGGGTGTACCAACTGACCTACGCTCGTTTGTCTTTGTCTACGGATCGTAAACCGTGTGCTTACGGATCCCAAACCGTGTGTTTACGGATTCTAAACCCTGTGCAGCAGTGATCTGGCAACCCTTAACTCCATACTGACTGGACTACACCCCGAAGCCCTCCGAACCCCAAACCCTGAGCCACACATCTGTCTCCCCAATTCATTATATGTTTGTTGAACTTTGTTCACTGTTCAGGTAACTTTCAGGCCAAATACAAAATTAGTAACCCTGTGTTTTATTCAGCAGAAGTTGGTAGGTCTTTCGGACAGGATATTAGGGCCTCAAACTAAGCCCTTCCCAAGGACATATGCATATGCATCCTACGGTTACTATCAAAGCAGTATCATTGCAAGAGTCCTCAAGGTGCAAGTCAATACTTTTTCCCTGTTTTCTTTTGTGTATCTGTGCGTGTGTTGTCATGTTCGCTATACATAACTCCATGACTGTTCCGAAATGACTGTTTCGTCGGACTTTCACCGACTGTGCGTGTGTGGAATTGAATCACCTATTTTTAAAGTAAAAATCATTCTTTTTTTTCTTTTTTTCTTGCCAATATTATTTTTTATTTTTTTTTTATTGGAAGATAGTAACTATTTACATGTATACAAAGAAAAAAAAAGAAGAAAAGAAAAGACTATTTCATTGGAGTTTCAGCAACTCGCAAGGAGGTTGAACCTCGACCATCTGCGCAGGATGCATTTGCGTGATACATGAGGACTCGACAGCTTCCCGAAAGTTAGTGATACCCTTGTGAAAAGATTCATGAACTCAGAGCTCCCCGTCTAGTCCCAAAGTCCTGATTTTCCCATTGTACCATACGCTCAACCGGTAGGCCGTACACAAGTAGGTCTAGTCTAGTTTCGGGCTGTACTGACATCCTCAGACATGGCGTGCTCACAATCAGACAGACGAAGACGAGTAGAGGAACGCCCAGGAAGATTCTACGGAGGGTACAGGTATGAGAGGGCGAATGACACGGTTAAGTATAGTTACAGCATATGACTTTTTGGCAGTTTTTGCTGCAACTGACCTTTTTTTTTTTTTTTTTTTTTTTTTTTTTTTTTTTTTTAAATAACAGGCTTGTCTTCTCCTCATATGGGGGACAGCCGCATTTTTCTACTACTCTATCAGCTTCTCTCAGTATTGTACCTCGCACAACCTACCTGGACAAACAAGGACCCATCCACACCCCAAGGGGATCTAGGGTCTAAGACTAGAGTCTAAGTCGCAGGGTCTAAGACTGGAACCTATCTATGCACACCAGCTGGGTGGCCCTAACAGTTACGGGTTGGCACCGACCTCCTCCCGTGTCTAAGCACCGCAGCTTCCTCCTCCTAGCCCCAGGCAATGGATGGGAGGGGAAGGTAAACCCTACCAAACCCTACCCGGGGGAGCGAGCCGACTAACTCAGCTGGTGAACCCGTAGTGAGCCGCAGTAGACTGCGGGGGATCGAATGAAGACCCTGGGTTTCTGCTGCAACTGACTATTTTAGTATTTTTGCAATCCAGGACTTTTTCATTTTTTTTTCTGAAGTTCTGCAGCATGGAAGTACATACGGCGGCTTAGCTCCAGCAGGTTAGGTGATGACTTAACAGCGGCACTATAATTTGATTTTTGCAGGTGATCAGCCTTTTGCAAACGGCTGATAACCGTGTTGTAAAAAATTATAAAGCTCCCACAATTTTGGATCGGGTGTGCCCTTTTACTGACAGATACTGTCGAATCTAACGAGGGTACAGGTGGAACCCGATGGCGACCCGACGGCGTCCCCATAGGCACGGAATACCGCACTTTTGTGGGCTTACGCGGAGGACATACTGATCAGATCGGTGGGTAAACGGTTATATGGTCAGGTGGAAGTTTCTTACGAATGGACGGTAGCCATCGATCGAGGTGATATGAGGAACGAGGACGATGGGAGGGTGAAGGGCGGACGAGTTGGAAAATGAGCNGAAGTTTCTTACGAATGGACGGTAGCCATCGATCGAGGTGATATGAGGAACGAGGACGATGGGAGGGTGAAGGGCGGACGAGTTGGAAAATGAGCGAGGTACAGGGAGGGTAAACGGTTATATGGTCAGGTCGAAGTTTCTTACGAATGGACGGTAGCCATCGATCAACTATTTCAGAAAGTATGAGGTAGAGAATGTGTTGCGTGAGCGAATTAGGCAGAAGGTGATGCTGGCACGCATTCATGCATTCCAGGTTTTTTACATTGGCACATTATTTGTTCCACCAGAGATGAACTCCTCACATTTTGCGCTAAATCTATATGATATTATGATTGTGTTCTGTTTTGTTTTTACTTTTCCATATGCTCGGTTCTTGGTTTGGTCATTCCGTTTTGTTTTGTTTTTTAACACGCGCATGCATGACCCACCTATTTTGGGGGGCACCAGTCCGGTCAATTTGAAAGCTTTTTGTCCGTTTTTCGAGCTGTTTGCTGTCTTCCATGTGCAAAATTTTAGACTGCATTACCTGGAAGTATTAAGTTGCACAACTTGCACTCTCTTTTTTTTTAGTTGCACATTCTTTTCTCAGAACTCTCTCTAATTTCAGCGACTTCCGTTTCTTTTGTCATACGCACCTGCCAAGTAGCTTAGGGCAAGGTCCCACTAGCAAAGACAACTGGAATTTCAAGCCTGAATCTGGACGTGTTTGTGGAAAGGTGCAGAAAAGCTAGACTGATCAGCTTTTTCGCCTCTGCGCATAAACCCATCCAGATTCAGGTGTAATCCAATCCTCTTTGTTAGTGGGACCTCGCCCTTCCATTCGCACATTTGAATTCTCTCTTCTCTTACTGCTGTTTCTTTTTCGGCACTCCATTAAGTTGCTGTATACTCTTTTTTTGTGTGTGTGTTTTTTTTTTCTTTTTTTTTCCCGGAACTTTGTTAAACCACCAGTTCACACGAGCCGAAGTTGATGAACCACCAGATACAACGCACTTGTCCCCTGACGAGATCGCTCCTTGCGGATGGTCGATCAAAACTCAGAGTAGGGACTACGCCAGTTTGCATGGGGAATGGGAATTAATCTGCGTACGGACCTATGGATTGATCACGCTTTTCAAAGTGCGCTGATCGCAGTTTTTTTTTTACTCCGTCTCTGTGACTTCCTTGAGTTGGCTCATGGCATGGTCGTGTCGAGTGTTCGATCTGTCATGTTTCTGTTTGGATTGTGGTCTGTCACTCTGACTGATACTGTGGCATACTGCGCATCCACATGGGCCTGCAGGGCCTGACCAGACGGAAAATAAGGGCCCTCCAGGCCTTGTGTCGTTTCAGTCTAAAAGCCTGAAAAGGAGGGCCATTTTCAGGCCCTTATAAAGTCGACCTGCTCTGAAACTTAGGCGGCAGACCAGGGTTTAGCGCAGGCCATTTTTGGGCCTGTTTCAAGACAACCTTTGTTTGAACTTCAACGCCAGGGTCTGGCACGATTCGGCATGGGCAAGAGCAGCCTCCCAGGCCGGACCAGCACTATATAGTACTGGTCCGCCCTGCAGGCTGCAGGCGGCTCACGGGGAGTCCACGGGCACTTCACGTGCAGTTCAGGAGGCAGTCTTCAGGATTCAGCCGCAGCACTCTGCAGGAGCGCTGCAGGAGTAGTAGCCAGCGCTGGGCACTATTAGGAGCTTAGAGTAGCGTTGGGAGAGAGAGAGAGGGCGGAGGCCAGGGAGACTTACCTGTGGCGCCATAGCTCCAGCTTCGTCTTCTATGTACCTGCAACAAGGTGCCACCTTCACAGGTCAGTATTTGGCACGAGAGAGAGAGAGAGAGAGAGAGAGAGAGAGAGAGAGAGAGAGAGAGAGAGAGAGAGAGAGAGAGAGAGAGAGAGAGAGAGAGAGAG